CTGCTTTCACCATCTTGGGATTCTCAGTAATTTCTGACTTTGGCCCATGTTTTGTTCTGCACTTAACACACGTTATGTAACTGGTCCTGGCTGCCACAGTAGCACTGAGGTGGAGCCTGAGATCGTGCATTTCTGACGAGATCCCAGGTGACGCTCAGGGTTCTTGCCCTTGGATCAGCTTTGAGCAGCAAGGCTCAGTCCGCAGCCCAGCAGAGCAGCCACATGGAAGGAATCTGAAGACAGCACGCCCCAGGCCCCTGGCAGCTGGATTAGTGGCCAGTAACTGTAAGTGAGTCACAAATTTCCATATTCCTTAAGCTTCTGTGTTTTTGTTACAGCGCTTGGCCTTCCCGTAACTGAAGGGAGCGTAGAGTCAGTCTCACAGCCTGCTCTGTTCTCAGTTATTCAGGGGTAAATAATTTTGGAGAAATAGCTTTGTGTGAGGGGTGCCTGGGAGCTGGGCTCCAGCTGGGTCAACAGCACCTCAGGCTGTCTGGTTGCCCTCCCCCATGTGAGTGGGAGCTGGCTGAATGGCCTTTTTGAGCTGGGGATTGGAGACTGAGTCTGGAACTGGAGGAGAAGAGGACACTGGACTCCCAGCCAGACGAGACAGCGCAGCCTGAGCTCGGTTTGGAAGTTGGGGCCAGACCCTAGCTGCAAAGCTGCTGGTCATGGCCTTTGGGACTTACTTCCACCACTGGACCCTGTGGCTTGTGTATTCCTTGGATCCACTAGCCAATAATGGCCATCCTATTATTCTAGTTTTACCCCAACTTCAAACTAACTACTCTTGTTGTAAGACACAAAAACAAGCTATTTTAAGCAATATATTGTGTGGTATGTAGCGGACATAATCTTGTTGGTAAGAGTGCCACCATGTCCCTCACCTACGAAAGCCCCGCAGCACTCCCAAAGTCATCGGAGCACTGTGGTTCAGATCACGTCCCCCTGGGGCAGCCTCTGTCCATGTGCGCCTCAGGCTTCATGGCTGGTTCATCCCACACGTCCACGGTCGTTACGCCCCTCTGTCTTTCCAGTCACCCCTGCTCCCCCCACCCCTTGGGTAACCACTGTCTTCTCCTTCTCTCTCTGGTATTCTCAGTCTAAGAGCCACAGTCCTTCATTCCTCAGTGAGTTTGCTGCGTCCATGCGTTGGGGAGCCTGTGTTTGTCCACATGCCTTACATAAGCACCGGGCCGTGGGGTAGCTGACCCGCTTCCGCACTGCTCCAGACCCTCCCGCCCCTCCTCCGCTCCAGCCGCTGCTGCAGTCATGAGCTCCCTGCGGGCATTGATCCCTCTCACGTGGGTGCACCCTGAGAGCACCTTGCTTTGGCTCCACTTCATAGACCTTCCTCTTCACACCCCAGGGAAACCCACTGGGCACTCCCACGTGCACACCAAGAAATGGGGGGAAGTTGACCTTTGAGGGCCCACCCTTGACCATGGAGATGGAAGCCAGTGGACGGGCGCTTTTCTTTTCCGGCTCCTGGTGGATCGTGCTGAGACACGTTTTACTAGAGTCCTCAGAAGGTCCCAGTGGGGCTGAGCTCCAGCTGTGAGGCTCTTACTCGAGGCTGCTCTATAATCTGTCGTTATATTGGCCTTGTTCTTCCCTGGTGTTACTTCCCCCTCTCTCACTCCTGCTCTCTGGGACCATTTGCAAAGAAATACTTGGAAAACTGCTCTAAGGACCATGGGGAGGTGGTAGGGGTGGGGAGGGGCTGAGGTTGGGGAAACCTTCTGTTCCCTGAGGCTTTATCACCTAGACTTGTTCTGTCATCCAGGTTAAGGATCCGTCAGATAAGCAACAGTAGATTCTCAGCCATCCTCACGGGCTGCGTTGTCTCTCCCCTGACAGAACCCGCTTCCTCACCCTTCCCTCACTCTGATGTCCCCAGGTCCCCACTGCGGAACCCCTGACCTCCTTACCTGCAGGTGCAGCCCAGCTTGGGGCTTGTGAGGAAAGTACTGAAGGTCCTCAGACTCTAATCTCTGGGCAACCCCCAACTACCGTCTGGGGCCCAGGGGAGAATGGACGTCCACCCTTCCCCATAGTGAGACCCAAAGAGCCTGGGGTTATTCAGAGGACAGCCCACCGAGTGGTCCAGGCAGGCTGGTGCCCAAGGAAGGTGCAGCGACTGGCGCTTTCTACCATTTTGAGTCCTCTTAAGATCATGAACTTAAAGAAGAAAAGCAGTGGTCTGTTTTTTGATGATGTAAATATAAAAAGTAAGTTACACCAACTCCGGTCCTCCTGTTGCCTTGCCCTGTCCCTGGACCTGGCCATGTCCTGACCTGGCATTCTCCCTCCTAGGATGCTGGATCAAGCTCCTCCTGGACCACACTTGGCTGCGATGGGCTCCCCAGCGCTGTCCGGAAGAGCAGGAGGGCGTAGGTGGGGACTCGGACCTCTGAATGGGGTGGATGACACACCGAGCAGAGTCCAGGCTGTGACCAGGCTGGCTCCATGCGACTCACTGCTGAGCTCCCGCCCCCAGGTGGGGCTGGGTCTTGCCTGGTCCTTCTTTCCCCACAACAGTCACATCGGCAGTGGCGGCTTTTCTCCCTGGCCACTAACTGTGAGTCCTCTCTGAGGACTTGGGGGTCTTATTATTATCTATCAATACTTAATACTTGAGGAAGTGGTGTAGGTCAAGGCAGAAGCCTCAAGCCGAATGCCTGGGACGGATCCTGGCCTTGCCACTCACTAGCTCTGTGACCTTGAGCAAGTGACTCGGCCTCTCTGTGCCCAGTGTCCTGATGGGAAAAGTGATCTGCATCCTAGAGTCATGTGACGCACTAGGAATAGTCCGAGTTCAACAAGTGTCAGCCGTTGTGACTGTTATTATTATTCAAATATTCTTCTGGCCAATCTCAGGAATCCCTAGTTTTTATTTTTTAACCAAAACATAATTAATATCTCACGCTAAACATAGCAAGAGCTCTTTTTCTTCTTTCACAAGGAGATAATATTCTTTAGAAAATTCCCTATGCACGAGATAAACAGCAGGGTCTTTTGTTGTCTCAACGAGATAACAGTAAACAGAACTTCTAAACACTCGCCTATATAACATGGATATTGTCTTAGGTGACTGCATAGTACTCTATTTTAAGGCTGTGGCAAACATTATTTTTATTTTTTTCTTTATAGATAAGTTTTTTATTATATATTGGGTTTTGTTCCAGTGGGCCACAACTATTGCAACCCATGTCCATACATTACTTAAAGTTTCCATAGCTCAGTGCTATTACTTTTTTTCATTTTTTAATTTTTATTGAGGTTATGATAGTTTAGAAAATTGTGACATTTCAGTTGTACGTGATTATTTGTCAGTCACCATATAGGGGCGCCCCTTCACCCTTTGTGCCCACCTCCCAACTGCCTTCTCCTGGTAACAACTAAATTGTTCTCTTTGTCCACGTGGCACACATTTTTAATGAACGTCCTCTCCTTTTTTCCCCAGGACCATAGTCTATTATTTACAAAATTTTTCTCATACAGTTTTTAAACTGAGATATAATTTACCCTTATGTTTTTTTAAGGAAGATCAACCCTGAGCTAACATCTGCTGCCAATCCTCCTTTTTTTTGCTGAGGAAGATTGGCCCTGAGCTAACATCTGTGCCCATCTTCCTCTACTTTATATGTGGGACGCCTGCCACAGCATGGCTTGATGAGCGGTGCGTAGGTCCACACCTGGGATCTGAACTGGCAAACTCAGGGCTGCCAAAGTGGAGTAAGTAAACTTAACCACTATGCCACCAGGCCAGCCCCAAATTCACCTTTTTAAAGTGTACAATTCAGTAGTGTCTTGGTATATTCACAAGGTTGTGCACTCTTCAGCTCTGTGTAATTCCAGAACATTTTCATCATCCCCAAAAGAAACCTCACACCCTTTAGCAGTCTCTCCCATTCCGCCTCCCCCAGCCCCTGACAACCACTAATCTTCTTTCTGTCTCTTTGGATTTGCCAATTGTGGATATTTCATATAAATAAAACGTACAATATGTGGGCTTTTGTGTCTGGATTCTTTTATTTAGCATAATGTTATCAAGTTTATGCTGTAGCACGTATCAGTACGTCATTCCTTTTATGACTGAATAATAGTCTCTTGTATGAATTTACCACACTTCATTTAAATACCCATTAAGTGACAAATATTTTAGTTGCTTCCACTTTTTGGCTATTTTGAATAATCCTCCCGTGAACATTGCTGTACAAATTTCTGAAGATTCTTGGTTGCTGTAGGAGTCCATGATTTAGAGAGTCTCCCGTAATTCCTGTGCTCTCACAGACCCCATCCCCTTTTGTTACCGACCCTGGTTTCCCCACTGGAAATAACACGCTGCTGGCTCCCCTCTGTTGGGAAGGGCTCGGGGGGGCAATTAAGTTCCTCTCGGGACGCAAAACATATCTGAACAAGACAAGGTCTCCTGACACGCAGTCTTGATGTTGTCTCTAGGCCTCTGCTTCTTGACATGTTTTGTTCCTGGGAACTTCTGTGTAAGGAATGAAAAAAAGGTGGAGGGAAACTTCTCTGAGGCTTTTCTTGGATGGGATGGGCAGAAATTGGTTAATAATTGGATTTATAACTGTTGCTGAGAAATGCACAGAAGACCAAGGTGGCAGTTCCTGGAGCAGGATTCCATGGTCCACTCCTCCCGTAGCTGGGTCCCCTGTCCCCAGGGACAGAGGCCACCAAGGAACAAAACTAAGGGGACTAGACCCTGGGGGCAGGGAAGTGACAGGACACAACTGAGAGGGAGTGAGGAGGCCTGGAGACAGGAGGACCAGGAAATAGCACCAATGTAACCAGAGGGGCCTGCAGAGGGGAGCAGGGCTGATGGGGGGAAGGTCGTGCATGGTGTCTGTCCTGTGTGTTGCAGAGACTGTCTCCCCTGCACCCACACACACAGGCACAGGGTCAGCCTTCACCTCAGCGTCCACCCATCGCCCCCTGGGAAACAGGCAGTCCTTAGACCAAAGAATAGCACGCACTTTCAACAAATTCAATCTCTTAAGCATTTATTAGACACTAATTCTGTGACCCCCACTGGCTTCTGTGGCCATAGACCTCAATAACTGGGTGTCCCTGCCCTCAGCGGGCTCACAGCCCGTCTCCTGAGAGCAGAGTGAAGAGGAAGCTCAGTACTTGTCAGGCAGGCCACGAGGTCTGAAGTGATTGGGGTCTTTGCCGCTCCGGCCCCATTCATTGGCAGCCTGGTCGGCCCTCGAGTCTGCTGCTCCCTGGCCGCTGTCTCCAAACTTGAAACGGTCTGTGAATCTCTGAGCATTCTCTCTGGCATCGCTGATGGAGGAGGGCAGGCAGGAGATTAATCCGGGGCTGATGAGCAACATCCCCACCCTCCCTGTGTCTCCTCTTTCCCAGGGATGGCTCTGAGAGGAGCTAAGGAGAGAGGGGCCCATACACTCAGCCTGCCCCGGCACAGCCCACCCAGCCTCACTGATGCCCTGATGCTGGGTGAACAGCACCCAGAGGGGAGGGTTGGGAGTTGCCCATTCCCACAGCCCTGCTCAGGCTTCATCACCACTCAGACCCCACACTGGGAACAGAGCGGGACGGTGGGCCTCAGGAGGAGGAGGGGCCATGGTCCCTACAGGTCACTTCTCCAGGGCCTACCCCTCCTCATCCCCAAAGGCAGCCCAGCTCTGAGCACCCACCCCTGCACCCCCAGGCCCCGAGTCACCTGATGACTTTAGCAGCCCAGGCGCCCCCAGGGCCCCTCTGTGCAGCGTCATAGTTCCCGCGGGCGTGGAAGTATTTGTCTGCGCCTATGTAATTGGCTTCTCTCATGTCAGAGTAGGCTCTCCACATGTCCTTAGCCCCTGGAAGGAAAAAAAATGATGAGATGAAGGTGATCACATCTTGGCAAAATAGAGTAATAAGAAATTTCCTCCCACTGATTTCAAGATTTCATCCTTTGACAGAGTCCTTGGAGATGGTGTTGGCTTGAGATGAATATTCCTTCCTGGTTAATGTGATGAGAATCACACCAGGTGCAAATTTTATTCTGCCTGATTGCATTCCCAGCTCTGTTGCTACATTGTGTTTGGCCGTGTGTGATGCGTGTGATAACAAGGTGGGATGGTCCCTGAGGGAGGTTTGGTTGTACAATGAGCCTCTACCTGGAAAGATGCAGGGGACCCTCTGACCTGAGAGTGAGGACAAAGGCGACTCTGAGGGAGGCTGTGCACCCACGGTGCTCCTAACCCAGTCATGGGAGAAACTCGTCCCCATGGGCAGCGTGAGGACAGCTCGGTCCTGAGTACGTCTGAGTGTCTGTGCACATTTGCGGCTGGATGGGGGTCAGAATCCAATGGGCAGGTGATAAAGGTGAGTCCCTAAGAGAGCTGTGAAGAACCTGGGTGATCAGGTGCAACACAGGGCAACGACCCACCAGCTCTAAGGGACAGCGTCATCCCCAGTAAAGTGGAGGAGTGTTGCCTCCCTCAGAGTGTTTATGCAGAGAGACTGAGGAGATACAGGTATGACTTCTAGAACACTGTAGTGGTCAATGTACCATCATCTGTCTGGTCCTTGGGAACAGTGGGACAAAAAAGTCAAGAGGCTCACCTAAGGTGAAGATCAGGAAGTCATGGACGGAAGGAATCTGATCATGCAGGAATAAAATGGCAACCTTTTAAAACTTAGCTGATTAAGAAAAAGAGAAAAATCTAACGTAGAGTTGTGATCTCAGTTTATGAGATATCTCCCTGAGATATCTTACTTTCATTTGATGTCTTTATTGTTTCTGGTGCTCAGATGATAGTTGTGTTGAGAGCTATGACTTTCTTACTATACTTATACCCTCTGAGTTACTAATTTAAATAGATCCTAGGAGTTCAGACTTGCACAATAAGTACTTCTAAAATGCCTGACACATTTTGTCACTTGAGGGGTCAAACTGGAGGGAGAGGTTCTCAGCCTTTAGTGTACAAATGTCACCCGGGGGGTTTGGTAAAGGCCAGATTCCAACTCGGCCCCAGAGACTGAGATTCAGGGAGGGGAGTGTGTGGACCCAGGCGTCTGCATTTCACAAGCACCCAGACACCAGGGGATTTCATGCAAGTGGTCCTAGGACAGCCCTTGAGAAACAGTGGCCTAAGAGATGAAATGAGATTTTCAGCTGGGTCTGCAAGAATTTAAATGGGATTAACAGCAGTCTCTTAAAGCAATTATTCAGAGAGTATCACAGAAAAAACTCACAAATTGATCTTGTGAAATAAAGAAGTTTTTACTACTTTCCTATGGCTAGTGAGGTAAATATCTCTTGCTCCCGGTTTCCTGGTCATTCTCAGCCCCACTGGAACCGTCGTCAGGAATTCATTGTGCCTTTTGCTGGGGGGAGAGGAGCTCTACAGAGTTGCTTCCAAAGGCTCCACGTCCCGCTGTTGCCCATTTGCTCAGAAGAGAACAGGGTGTGTGTTCACAGCTCCCTCCCCCTCCCAGGTGCACTCTGGTCTGCGAGGCCGTGTTGCTCCTGGTTAATAGCCAGGTCTGGGGAGCTCCACGACCTGGGCTAACCCCCGCTCTGCTTTGGGACTTAATCTGTTAAGTATTTAATCAGTTTGTGCCTCAGTTTCCCTGTTAAGGGATAATGGTACCTACATTGCAGGATGAAAGGATTAAAAGCTGAGGATGAAAATGAGTTCATTCGTCCGTGTAAAGCTCTTAGAACAGTGCCTAGGACGTATCAAAAGCTCACTTACTCTGGTTGTAATTACTAAGTGGATGGGGGTGCCAACACACCCCACGCACTGATGCACCCACTTCATGGCTCCTGAGTCACAGACATGAGCTGTCCCTGACTCCCCACTAGGCGGCAGTAGGGCCCCACTCGTATTTAGGGGACATGCTCCCTGAACTCTACGTCTCCTCCTCACTCCTGCTGAAAGTTGGGGCCCAAACCTTATGACCTCCGTCCTAGGGATCCCCGCCAAAGAGTGCAAAGCTGCCCACAAACGCCCTGAGGAACTGCGATCATGAAAACCGTGCTCCTTGTCTGCCCACCTGTGGCCTTTGTCCTCTGGGGATGTGGCCTCTGCTCAACGAATCCTGGGGGCAGCCGGTTGCAGCCTCCCCACCACCCATCCCTTGGTCCTTACCTTGACCAGCTTCCTTGAGGAATGTGAACCATTCCCGGCTGCTGACGCCCAGGACCAGGGAGCAAAAAATGATGCCGATGGAAAGCTTCATTTTGCTGTAGAGAGTCAAGCAGATGCAACAAAAGTGGACAGGTTTTTTCTTTTTTTGGTAAAATTGATCCACCTTTGTGTTCTAAAAATAAATCTCACTCAATTTTATGCACGCATATGTATATGTATATGTATATCTATCTATACGGATAGACAGATAGATTGTATTTCAGAGGGTCCAGTGCTCCATTTCCATTTGTCTCATTGGAACCCCAGCGATATACTGGATGAGAGATTGCAATGAGTTCTAAGAATAAACCACTGTCCATTTCAATCATCCCCTATCATCTCTGAAGCCCATTGTACAGAAACTTCCCAGAGAGGCACGTGGGGATTTTGTGACCACACACCTCTCTGTAATATGAGATGAGTTAAACCATCCACAACTATCTGTAGCAGCCTGTTCTACCCATCACTGACTTCACACAGAAGAAGCTTACAACAAAATCCCTACCCCAAAAGTATTCACATTGCTGAATTCTAATTGTCAGAATAGGAGACTCAGGAAGGAGGCAGAGAGCTGGGATGCAGCACAAGGAAGCTGGTGGGAAAGAGAATCTCCAAAGGGGAAAGCTGTAGGAAAGTTCTAGCCCCTCACCTGTGGCTGTCCCTTTCTGCCGGACTCCTGATGAGCTGGGCTGCCTGTGCTGCCTGCCCGGGTCATGTGGCTGGTGCTATATATACTGACACTTCGCTAGGGGAATGAATGGGAACACAGGTGTGAAGCAAAAAGAAGAAATTTGGGAAATTCCTCTTGGGCACAACACAGCAGCCAGAACATCAGGGTTATTCTTCACGCACATCTAATTTCCCAGATTGTGCAATCTGGCAGCTTTCAGGAGCATAACAAGTTGTATTTTGTGTCCATTTCCAGTCTCACTCCTGGTGGGGAAAGTTTTTATTCCCTCCCCAGAACAATGTGCTGACATTTGCTGTGAAGGGAAACCAATATTAGAAAAAGAGATTTGATTAGAAAATATACCAAAACAGGTCAAATGGACCAGCAGAACTGGCTCCATTGAAGGGACAGCTCAGGATGAAACTGGACCCCGGGGCACAGGAGTAGGAAAGGAGAGAGAGAGACCAGCCAGGGAAACAAAATTCAGAGCACCCACATGAGGTGGTCTCAACTGGAAAAGAGAGTCCTCCAGACTCAGGTGTATTCAGGATCAGTCGCTGTTGAAGGTCATAATGACAAGTTGTATTTGGAGGATGCTGTAACCCAGAAACATTGAACTGCAGTGTAGACATTTGCTACAATGTTGTGTAGAAATGACACACTATTAAAACGAGCAGGAAATGGCCCAATGGCTGCCAAATTATCAGAATAGAAGATTCAGGAAGGATGCAGAGAAAGCTGGGAGGCTGCACAAGAATGCTGGCAGGATGTGATGATAGAGAACAGCTGTCTCAACCAGAAAAGCAGGACTGGGCTTTATTATTTGAGTTTAGTAAGATAATCTTGGGGAGAAATTGCATGCAGGTGCTATCAGGCAGATGGCGTCCATGGTCCACCGCCTGCCCCGTTCCTGCCTCTTCATCCAAAAGGGAAATCTTAAAAATGGCTGGATTTCCCTAGAGAAGAAAGATGACGTGTGTGTAATGTGGCAGAGATGATGGAGGATCCAAGGAACAGATCTGGTCCTTCTCACAGTGGGACCCTGGCTGAAGCCTAAGGACAGTGTTGGGCAAGTAAGGCCCAGCCCAGGGAGCACCAGCTCAGGATTTGTGCCTGGAGTGTTTCCAGGAGACGAGGAACATGAGCAGTGCATTGGAGATACTAGGGAGGGAATCTCCAAGACTGAGGCAGGCACATCATGGAGACTTGCAGCCGAGATGCTGGAAGATGGAAACAATGGCCGAGAAGGAAGGGAGACTGGTGCCTCACGAGAGAATGGTGAGGATGAAGGGTTCATAATTTGTTACAAGACTAGAGGAACTACGAGTAGGACCTTAGAAAGAGGAGCGATGACCTGGGGTGAAGCAAGTCAAGCAAGGACTTCACTGGTGTTTGGGACTCATTGTCTTAGATTAGAGCCTGCCAAAATTAGGAGTGATGGCTCTTTCTGGGTCTGGGTCATATTTTCACTCTTGTAGATATAATGAGATGAAAGTTGTAGGGCAGATAACTGTCAAGGATTTCCCTGTGCCTTTTGTTCTTATCCAAGACAATGCTAAGCAACATCAGATATTCCACAGACAACTTCCTTCCTCGGGAAAGGCGGATTCCCTGTGATCCGGGGAGTCCAGGTCCCTGAGCTGCCTTGGCTCACTTAGTCCTAGATGTAGGCTTGATGGGGAAGGGGGACTTGTTAACCCTCACAGCCACTGGTCCCAGGCATGCCAGGGGGCTACTCCATTGAGGAGGGCATGTGATTGTCCAGATCCCCTTTTTCCTACCTTCCTCGGGACAGAAGTCGTGGGCCAGTCATCACATCCGTTTACACTTCTTTTACTCGCTTTGGAGCCATTCAGTGCTGGAAATCAATGCCCCACTTTCTCACGTCATTCCGATTGTTCTCTTCTTTGATAGAATCATTGGAGAGAAATCAAGTACAGTTTCTAGTTGCCAAGAGGAACTCCTCGCAGGGACTCTGGCCAGCATTGCAAGTTCTCTTCCTTTCTTCCTCAATGTCTTCTGTCTTCTGGGAAGGGACACCCAGTTCCTTGCAGGGCCATGCTTGGAGCAGTATACCATAGTGGCCATCTGCATTTTTCACTTGCTTCTCCTGCCAAAGGAAGCTACCCTGTCATGGGGAGATCAGGATCTCCAGGCCTTAAAGAGATTTCCCAACAGTCTCCCATGAGTCACTGTGTCCTGGGTTAGGGAGACAGTCTCTGTTATCAACTATTGTCCCGTCTTAATTGTTAATAGTGACGCCCCCTTGCACTCTGGAAAGTGACCTAGTTTTCGTGATAAATCTGATGGGCCCCTGCTCTACTAGCTGTGTGTGAGCAGGCTGTTGAGAGGTCTGAGACACCTCCGTCTCTTCTGTTACGACTGATGCCAGTGTAAGAGAAGAGCACCAAGGCCCTTAGGGTCAGAAACCAAAGTGAAAGAAAAGCCCCACACTATAGCCTTTCCAAGGATGGCATCTTAGGACTAAGTCCTAGATCCAGAGGGACAGCAGGAAGAAGGATGTGCAGGCCCGCGGAGATAAAATGAGGAAATAAGGACACGGGCCTCACAGGGTTGTCTCAGGATGATGTGATTGACGCTGAGAGGGCCTTGGATCAGTTCTGGGCGTGCGTAAAGCACCTCACACGTTTTAGCGCTTCTGGCTCAACCATGAAAATTCATCATAATTTATACTTTGCTGAAGACAAAAAGATTAATTACTGTTTTATTACCAAGGCCGCACATTATTAACACATTATTAACTAAGATTATCAATCACAATACAGTTTTAAAGATCTAGGTTTCATCATACAGGACGTAGCAACATTCTCTGAAGTCTGGGTGTCTTTTGAGTTCCCTTTCTGAGAAATACCTGTTGCCAGGACAGCGTTTTGATGGGGGAACCATCTGCATCTCGCGCAGCTGCAGGAGAAGAGGGAACGTTCTCTCCTCGCCTCGGCAGGACTTCTGTCTCCAGCAGTCAGGAGCTCCTGCCGGGGCCTAAGGCTAAGCCTGGAACCCACTAGACAGCCCTGAGAGAGAGAGAGAGATGGGCCTGAGACGCTCAGAACTTACCCCGAGGAAAGAAAGGGCCAGAGGAGGATCGTGGACAGACGGAATGTTGGGTGCATAATCTTTTGTATCTAAAGTCTCCCATCTTGTTAAACAACACTTTATCTGTTTCTCTTCAGATTTCATTTTCTAATATGAACCTCCGGTTTAGTGTCCAGGTGAGAACATTTGCGGGCATCCTTTAAGACTACAATTTATGTGCTATTTAAAGCATTACTGATTTTAAACAATTATTATATCCAATATCATTAAAATAACTTTAGAAAATTTCAATGCTCATGTATGGGAAGAATTAATATTGTTAAAATGTGCATACTACTGAAAGCAATCTATAGATTCAATGCAATCCCTATCAAAATTCCAAGGCATTTTTTAAAGTTAATTTTTATTGAGTTTATGATAGGTTACAATCTTGTGAAATTTCAGTTGTACATTATTGTTTGTCAGTCGTGTTGTAGGTGCACACCTTCGCCCTTTGTGCCCACCCCCGAACCCCCCTTTCCCCTGGTAGCCACTAATCTGTTCTCTTTGTCTACATGTTTAAATTCCTCATATGAGTGGAGTCATACAGAGATTGTCCTTCTCTATCTGGCTTATTTCACTTAACATAATTCTCTCAAGGTCCATTCGTGTTGTTGTGAATGGGACTATTTTATTCTTTTTTATGGCTGAGTAGTATTCCATTGTACATACATACCACATCTTCTTTACCCAAGTTGATGGGCACTTAGGTTGCTTCCATGTCTTGGCTATTGTAAATGATGCTGCAATGAACATAGGGGTGCATGGGACTTTGGGAATTGCTGACTTCAAGCTCTTTAGATAGATACCCAGTAGTGGGATGGCTGGGTCATATGTATTTCTATTTTTAATTTTTTTTTTTTTAGATTTTTTTTAAAATTTTTTCCTTTTCGCCCTAGTTCTATTTTTAGTTTTTTGAGGAATCTCCATACTGTTTTCCACAGTGGCTGCACCAGTTTGCATTCCCACCAGCAGTGTATGAGGGATCTTTTTTCTCCACAACCTCTCCAACATTTGTTACTTTTTGTTTTGGTTATTTTTGCCATTCCAACAGGTGTAAGGTGATATCTTAGTGTAGTTTTGATTTGCATTTCCCTGATGATCAGCAATGATGAGCATCTTTTCATGTGCCTATTGGCCATCCATATATCTTCTTTGGAGAAATGTCTGTTCATGTCACCTGCATTTTTTCATCGGGTTGTTTGATTTTTTGTTGTTGAGTTGTATGAGTTCTTTATATATTATGAATATTAAGCCTTTGTTGGATGTACGCCTTGCAAATATTTTTTCCAATTGGTGGGTTGTTTTTGTGTTTCAATCCTGTTTTCCCTTGCCTTGAAGAAGCTCTTTAGTCTGATGAAGTCCCATTTGTTTAGTCTTTCTATTGTTTCCCTTGTCTGAGAAGACATGGTGTCCAAAAAGATCCTTTTAATACTAATGTCAAAGAGCATACTGCCTATATTTTCTCCTAGAAGCCTTATGGTTTCAGGTCTTACCTTTAGGTCTTTGATCCATTTTGAGTTTATTTTTGTGAATGGTGAAAAAGAATGGTCAATTTTCATTCTTTTACATGTGGCTTTTCAGTTTTCCCAGCACCATTTGTTGACAAGACTTTCTTTCCTCCATTGGAGGCCCTCAGCTCCTTTGTCAAAGATTGGCTGTCCACAGATGAGTGGTTTTATTTCTGGGCTTTCAATTCTGTTCCATTGATCTGTGCACCTGTTTTTGTACCAGTACCATGCCGTTTTGATTACTGTAGCTTTGTAGTACATTTCGAGGTCAGGGATTATGATGCCTCCAGCTTTGTTCTTTTTTTTTCAGAATTGCTTTAGCAATTGTGGGTCTTTTGTTGCCCCATATGAATTGTAGGATTCTTTGTTCTATTTCTGTAAAGAATATCATTGGGATTTTGATTGGGATTGCATTGAATCTGTAGATTGCTTTAGGTAGTATGG